GGAGTTCTGCACTCAGCACGGAGTCTGCTTGAGATTCCCTCTCCCTCTGCTCCTTCTCCTGTGCTAAATAAATACATACATACTGACATATATACATACATAATCTTTAGAAAAGAAACACACCTTTTTTACTGATTATGAAAGTAATATTTGTTAATTTTAGAAAGCTCGAAAAGTACGATGAAGGAAAAAAGTACATGTAATCTCATCATTGAAAGCAACACCGACAATTTAGTATATGTTCTTGTTTTTCTCTGCATGAATATTATTACTTACAACACTTGATTCATCATGTATATACTATAAACTACTTTTTCTCTTCACTTACTGTGCAGTGAGCATTTTCCAGTGACATTAAAGTCAGCCTTGTAGATCGTGAGTACATGGTATTCTGTAATACAAGTGTGTATTAATTTGTCTAATTAATTCCTGATTGTGGCACAATTAGGTTGCTTGCAGTTTGCTATTATAAACTGTGCTGTGATGAATATGAACGATTTACATCCCCTGGATTACTTTTTAGGTTAAGTTCCAAGAAGTGGAAATAATTCTCAGGCTGTATAGTGTAGACTTTTGAGTCAGACTGCCTTGGATTAAAACCCTGACTTCTTAGATGTGTGTATATTGAGGCAAATTAATTTACCTCTCTTGTTTTTTAATCTGTACTTTGAAGATAATAATCTATACATGGAAAGCACTGAGAACAGCATCTGGAATGTCATAAAAACTCAGAAATGTTAGATGCTAGCATCGTCATTGTGGACATGATGGTTATCATCATTTTTATTTAAAGGATATACACATTTGAAATGTCTTTGATTTGTATTATATTAAAATTCTCTTGAAAAGTTCTATCAATTTGCATTCCTACCAACAAAATATGAGGGTATCATTTTACCAGCTCTGGCCAACAACTGAGGTTAAAATTAAAGCATTTTTCTTTCTATTTCCTTCCTTCCTTCTTTCCTTCCTTTTTTTAGAGAGAGAGAGTGTACCATGGTGGGGAGGGATAGGGACAGACAGAATCTTAAGCAGACTCCCTGCTGAGCTTGGAGGCATGTGGAGCTTGATCTCATGACCCTGAAATCATGACCTGAGCTGGAATCAGGAATTGAATGCTTAATCCACTGAGCCACTGAGGCATCCCAAAACTTTTTTTAGTGGTGTGGCCCATTTTTTGTTTGTTTATTTATTTATTTATTTTAAATTTTATTTTATCTTATAATAAAAGAATTAAAGGCCTGTGCTGAGATCAAGAGCCAGATTCATAACTGACTGAGCCACCCAGGTTTGTTCTTTTCTTTTCTTTTCTTTTCTTTTCTTTTCTTTTCTTTTCTTTTCTTTTCTTTTCTTTCTTTTCTTTTCTTTCTCTTCCTCCCTCCCTCCCTCCCTCCCTCCCTCCCTCCCTCCCTCCCTCCCTCTCTCTCTCTCTTTCTCTCTGTCTCTTTCTCTTTCTTTCTTTCATCATTCATTCACTCACTCACTCACTCACTCTACACCCAATATGGGGCTTGAATGCATGAACCGAAGAACAAAAATCCCATGTTCTTTTTTTTTTTTTAGAATCACATGTTCTGACTTAACCAGCCAGGTGCCAATGTAGACCCAATTTTTTAAATTTATTTATTTATTTATTCATGATAGACATGGGGGGGGTGGCAGACACACAGGCAGAAGGAGAAGCAGGCTCCATCCCAGGAGTCTGACGTGGGACTCAATCCTGGGACCCCAGGATCATGTCCTGGGCCAAAGGCAGGCGCCAAACTGCTGAGCCACCCAGGGATCCCCTATACCCAATTTTATAGGGAAAATATATATCTTTGTTTTAATCTCTAGTTTTGCTTATTAATTGATTTTGAATATTTGGTTTTTGCCCACTTTTATATGAGGTATTTATGTTTAAGTACTATGAATGTATATATATATGTAGTTCATGCCCAATGTGGGGCTTGAACTCAAGACTCTGAAATCAAGAGTCATATGTGCTACTCACTGAGCCAACTAGATATCCCTAAGTGCTCTTTAAATATTCAATTTTTAGTTAACCTTTGTGTTTTTTTTTATTTTTAAAGATTTTATTTATTTATTCATGAGGGACAGAGAGAGAGAGAGAAAGAGAGAGAGAGGCAGGCAGAGACATAGGCAAAGAGAGAAGCAGGCTCCGTGCAGGGAGCCCAATGTAGGACTCGATCCCGGGAGTCCAGGATCATGCCCTGAGCCAAAGGCAGATGCTCAACTGTTGAGCCACCCAGGCATCCCATCCCACCTTTTGTGTTTTATGTTGCCTGTACATTTTCCAGTTGGTGACTGCCCTTTTAATTTTGTTTGAGGTTATTTTCTGTATTAATGTTTTACCTGTGTGAGATTTGTATATAAAGGCAGTTCTTTTCCATATAGTTCTGCCTTCAAAAAAAATTAATTCACTCATCTGTTTGGCATTTATTAAATACTTTCTTTGTGCCAGGTATAGAAGTGATTTTTTTTTTAATTTTTATTATTATTATTATTATTATTATTATTTATGATAGTCACACACAGAGAGAGAGAGGCAGAGACACAGGCAGAGAGAGAAGCAGGCTCCATGCACTGGGAGCCCGACGTGGGATTAGATCCTGGGTCTCCAGGATCACGCCCTGGGCCAAAGGCAGGTACCAAACCGCTGCGCCACCCAGGGATCCCTAGAAGTGATTTTTTTAATATGCCTTTTTTTTTTTTTAGAATGACTTTAGCCTTATAGAAAACTTAGTACAGAGTTCCCAGTACCTAGTTTCTCTTATTGCTAACATCTTATGTTACCATGGTAATATGTCACAAGTAATATACCAACGTTGATATATATCACTGTTATCTAAATTCCACATTTTATTTGGACTTTACTAGCTTTACCACAAATGTCCTCTTGCTGATACTGGATCTCATCTAAAACATGATCACTTCTGGGGTGCCCTGCTGGCTGAGTTGGAAGAACATGTGACTCTTGGTGTCAGAGTTGTGAGTTTGAGCCCCACATTGGGTGTAGAGATTACTAAAATAAAAATATCATTACTTTTAGTTATCATGTCTCCTTCCTTGCCTCTGGTCTGTGACAGGTTTTCAGTCTTTTCTTGCTTTCTATTATATTGAGGGTTTTGAGGAATATTAGTCATAAATATTCTTGAATATTCTTTTTTCAAAAAAGATTTTATTTATTTATTAATGAGAGATACAGAGAGAGGCAGAGGCACAGGCAGAGGGAGAAGCAGACTCCTGGCAGGGAGCCTGATGCGAGACTCGGTCCCAGGACCCCAGGATCACTACCTGAGCCAAAGGCAGATGCTCAACCACTAAGCAACCCCAGGTGCCCCTCTTGAATATTATTCAATTTAAGTTTGTCAAGATGGTTAGACTGGGGTTATTTATTCCATTCTTTGGGTTATAATCCAATACTACATTATTTATTTTGTTATTTACATTATTTCAACTTTGACCGTTCAGTCTTTCGTTCTTTTACCTTGACTCCTCTGTCTTTTTGACATGTTTCCATCCGGGTTTTTTTTTTTGAGTGCTACAGAATGCTCCGGGCTTATTTTCTGAATTACCTGCTCCAATCCTAGAACTAGCTATTTCCCCTAGAATCCTTGTTTTCTCTTATTGGGAAATGCTATGTAGAAACGAAGACCTGGGTGCTGCTTGTGTTCACTCCTGCTGGGGTGTCACTACTTTTAGTCCCTCTTAGTGAATAGTGCTAGGAAGTACTATTTGTGTATTGTTTGTGCATGCATGCACTTGCATATTTATAATTACTTTCATATCTACTTATCTGTGTCTATATTAAACTAAACATGAGGGGATCCCTGGGTGGCTCAGCGGTTTTTAGCATCTGCCTTTGGCCCGGGGCGTGATGCTGGAGTCCCGGGATCGAGTCCTACATCAGGCTCCCTGCATGGAGCCTGCTTTTTCCTCTGCCTGTGTCTCTGCCTCTCTCTTTCTCTGTATGTCTACCTTGAGTAAATAAATAAAATCTTTAAAAAAAATAATTAAACATGAGTACATAGTTACGTTTCTGGCTCCAGTACCACAGGGTTCATTATAACCTTCCACACTTTGCCTTTCTATAACTTTGCACTCCAAAGTGATAAACTTAATCCAACATCTACCATCCATTTAGTTATTTGTTCAGCCCCAGTATACACGTAAACTGATTCAGAATTAACCCGTATCAACTTCTCCAAATAAAGTACAGTTTTTATGTGTGGTTCCATTTGTGTTTAGCTTTACTGGTTTCCAGTGAAAACATCGTCTTCCAAAGTTACATGTATCACTTCCTGTTTTCACCCATGGTTCTGCTTTTGACATTGTGCTTTAAAGACTTAATCTAGGGGCTCCTGGGTGGCACAGTCTGACTCTTGGTTTTAGCTCAGGTCACGGTCTCAGGATCATGAGATTGAGCTCTGTGTCAGGCTCCATGCTCACTGTGGAGTCTGCTCAAGTTTCTCTCTGCCTCTCCCACTGCCTCTCCTCTTGTTCATGCCCTCTTCTCTCTTTCTCTCAATAAATAAAACTTAAAAAAAAAGACTTCTTAATCTAAAGATCATATGCATATACAGGATGTTGCATATAATACATACATAACATACATATGTGTAATATATAAAATAACAATGATTGGTGTGTAATATATCTAATATGTATATATGATATTTCATTTATTCTTAGGTATTTTATTTTCTTTTTTTACCTTAAATTCCCGAATACACCTACTATTCACTTTGTCACTTGGTGTGAGGTAGAAGTGTATCTCCTTGCTTTTCTCCATTGTTTGAAATGCTATCTTTATCATATTTTTAAAATCATATATATACTAGGACTTTTATGTTTCTTATTGTTTTATTGCCTCTTTGTTCAAGTTCCAAACATGTAACTTTATGATAATTTCAGCATCTCGTAAATTATTCTTTTTGCATATTCATATTCACTTAAAATTTTAATTATTTGCTATAATTTCCTTTTCTATTTTTCAGGAACATTTTAGTGGATAAACCAAATGACCAGTCTTCAAGGTGGTCTTCAGAGAGCAACTATCCTCCCCAGGTAATATGGTAGCTCCTGATACCATATTGACATCAGTTATCTAGAATCCATTAATAATTTATTCAGTCTTTGAAACTGTGAGATAGGTTTTTATTTCCTTTTTTTATTTAAGTGTTGGAAGAATTTTTACTTCATAGGTAAATGCAGTGTGGAATTTGATGAAACAGACTTTTACTTCTGTCTACTGGAGCATTTATTAATTTTTAAAGATTTTATTTATTTTAGAGAGAGAGAGAGTGTGCATGAGCAGAGGGAGAGGAAGAAAAAGAATCTCAAGCAAATTCTGTGCTGAGGGCAGAGCCCTGTGCACGGCTCACTCTTACAACCCTGAGCCAAAATCAAGAATTGGGTACTTAACCCACTGAGCCACCCGGGCACCCTGTCTGTTGGAGCATTAAAAATCTAATATGTATTTTTTCCATTTTACTAATGATACAAAATTAGGTTTCTTGATACTTTTTGAGGAAAATGTTAATGAAAAGAACCTGTTAAGTTACCATTACTGTTTTGAGTAGTAACTGATCTCAGTGCTGATCTGAGCAGAGGTTGTGACTTCTGTACTTAAAACTCAAGTCATTCTGTAAATGTTTAAGGAAATATAAGTTGAACTTTGACTCAGTGACTCAATGACTGCCTTTTAGGGAAAGCATACTTAATATAGTTTATTATTTTACTAAAGTGATATATTTAGATGATGTCAAGACCATGAACTAAAAAAAAAAAAAAAAAAAAAGACCATGAACAAGTCTTTCCTTGACAAGTAGTATCTGAGGTCATTTGAATTTAAAAATAGTCATTCTTCCAGTTATATACTTTAAGCATTAAAACTTATGTCTATATCCTTAAGGAAATGAATGCTCTGATAGGTAAAGCAGATGAAAGGATAAAACTTACTTTTTTTTATTCTAGTGTATGTAGTCTCTATACTTATTTTTCCTTATATATATATATTTTTAATGGTTTGCATACCTTTTGTGGTCACCTGGTGTTTAAATGTTCCATTGCAGGGGCACCTGGGTGGCTCAGTCAGTTAAGCATCTGACTCTTGGTTTTGACTCAGGTCATCTCACGGTCTTGAGATCAAGCCCTGAGTCAGGCTCTGCTCTCAGCAGGGAGTCTGCACGTCTGCCTCCCCACCGCACACCCCCCACCCCTCCCTCAGCTAGTGCACATGTGCACCCATGCTTGCTCTCTTTCTCTCTCAAATAAATAAATAAAATCATTAAAAAAATAAATGTTCATTGTAAAATATACATCCAAAGAATATATACTCATACTTTTTATATATAGTATAAGGCATAACAAAACAAATATCTATTCATCAGTTGTCTTTAGAAATATAAAATATCCATGACCTTCTGAAGCCTCTTGTGAGCCCCATCTAATATTTGTCCTCTAACTCCACCCCAGTAACTATTATTTCATGCTTTGTTAAGCATTTTCTTACAGTATCATATATGTACATTTATACATGTGCTATGATTTAAATTTTATCTGGCTTTGACTTTATATAAATATAAGTTGAATCACTCATTATAAATCTTGATCTGCTTTTCTTTTGTCTTTCGTTAAAGTATTAATGTTGCTGAATATTATTGTAGTTTCTTAATTTTCACTACTATATAGTATTCCAGTGTATAAGTATGCCAAAATGTATTTATCTGTTTTGCAATTGATAGGTGTTTCAGTTTTTTATAGTTTTTTGCTATTATGAATAGGCTGCTGTGAACATTTTTGTATATTGTCTCCTAGTACATATGTGCAAAATCTTCTTTAGGATATATACCTTGGGGATCCCTGGGTGGCGCAGCGGTTTGGCGCCTGCCTTTGGCCCAGGGCGCGATCCTGGAGACCCGGGATCGAATCCCACATCGGGCTCCCGGTGCATGGAGCCTGCTTCTCCCTCTGCCTGTGTCTCTGCCTCTCTCTCTCTCTCTCTCTCTCTCTCTGACTATCATAAATAAAAAATAAAAAAATATTTAAAAAAAAAAAAAAGGATATATACCTTGGAGTACAGTTGTTGAATCATAGGGTACATGTATGTTCAGCTCTTATCAGGTAATGAAAAACTGTTTTACAGAATGGCTGTATAATTTGTACTCTCACTGACAGCATATGAAAGTTACTGTGCATTGAATTCTCTCCTTCACGTCTATGGTGGATTTTGCCAATCTGTTAGATCTTTCATTATAACTCACTATGCTTTTAATTTGTATTTTCCTGTTTATGTTCAAGCCTTTTTGCTTGTGCTGGTGGGTTTACTTTGTGTACATTGTTGGTGGGCGCCCCCCCCACCTTCTGCACACTGAAACTGAATACATTGTGCTTTTAATCATGTTTTTCTTATTCACATTTTGATTTTACTTAATTTGAGCCCTCAAATTTAGGAGGGGGTGTGTTTGTTTACTCAGTTGTTTTTATGTCTTACTAATGAATTATATATAATTTTTTTTATTATTGAAACAGTGATAACCTCTTTACTATGAAATTTCCTTTATTATGGAACAGTATTTTGAAGGCAGTAGTACTTAATGTCTATTTATTTATTTATTTGCTTATTCATTCAGAAATTACTTACTAAGCACCCATGGGTTACCGAACTTTACAACAGTGAACTAACTATTGTCTTTATTCTAACTGAGTCAAGAAATACCGTCAATCAATTAATATTCAATGTGATAAGACCTAGAGTAGAAGTTACTTAATGTATTTATGATTTAAAACAGACTGAGTTATCATGGAAATGGGTAACATGAATCTATTTTTCTTCATTGTAATTACAACTCAAATATAACTGGGGTTCCATGTAGTCATCTCGAAGACAATAATCTTGACAGAAAAATATAATTGAAAGTAATTTCAGTTTTTACTTAGTTTTATGGGAAACTGCCATATGGGATGGAATGGGTATAATTTTTAATATAGAGATATATAGCAAGTAGTCTTGTATTCCTAGAGAATGGAGCTAGGTCTATAATACTAATTCCAACCCTTCTTTCTCTTTTTTCAAACCATATTCTGAAAATTACTAAAAGGGCTGAATTTTTTTTTAAAGATTTTATTTATTCATGAGAGGCACAGAGAGAGAGAGGCAGAGATATAGGCAGAGGGAGAAGCAGGATCCCATTATGGGACTCCATCCCAGGACCCCGGGATCACACACTGAGCCAAAGGCTTAACCACTGAGCCACCCAGGTGCCCCAAAAGGCTGAATTTTTAAAAGATACACACATAAAGTTTATGAAAATTGGGACCCAAAATTGATTCATTAGCACAAGTATAAAACAGAAGGAATCCCTACCTCCGTGGGTTACTGTGGGAAAAGTTGCATTGGCACTGAGTAGAGGAGGAGAAAACTGGTCCCTGAGAGGTTTCAGCAGTGTATTATTTGTTTATATTTGGTAATCAGATTCTTAATACTTGGCTATTCAAGAAACCTTAATAGTGTGATTTTAGTTTTAAGTGGTTTAGATGGATAGTGCTCTTAAGGTTCTCAATTGAAGCAAGTGCGAATCCTCTCTGAAGATTTTCTCAAGGCTTTTCTCAAGGCTTGAGGTAGTTTCCATAAATCATTATTCACATACACAAAGGTAACCAAATGTACCGGGAAACAAGGTACCGGTAGTAAAACTAAGAAGGAATGATAGCAGAAACCTGCAAAAATATTAGGTATACAAATCAAAAGCAGTGAAAGATACCAAAATGAAAATAATTAACATACTTTATTTAAGGAAATAAGAGATATTTTTACCTTTAAAAAGTGATCTCACAGGGCAGCCCAGGTGACACAGCGGTTTAGCTCTGCCTTTGGCCCAGGGTGTGATCCTGGATACCCAAGATTGAGTCCCACGTTGGGCTCCCTGCATGGAGCCTGCTTCTCGCTCTGCCTATGTCTCTGCCTCTCTCTCTCTTTCTCTTTCTCTCTTTCTCTGACTCTCATGAATAAATAAATAAAATCTTAAAAAAAGATCTTACAAAAGATCTTTGAGGAAAGAACCAAATAAACTTAAAAGTATAATAACAAAAATTATTTGTGACCAACAGTCCAACTAAGGAGGATGAAATAGCAAGAAAAAATATTTTTGAAGGTACAGTGTATTGACAATAAAGAAGTAAAGAGTGATAGGGCCACAATTGAGGAAAATACAGGAACCCATAGAGGGGAAACACTTTTAGGACCACTTTTCCACTGGGTTTCTATTGATTTCTGAAGAAGTGGTTAAGATGCTGGAAAGCTGAATAGCACTTCTGACAGACTCTTGAGGCCAGGAAGATAAAGATGAGGAATCAGAGCCAGGAATGTGATAGATTAGCAGGTTCCATACTCTGGGTTAGGACCTGAAGCTATGTTTGAGGAGTAAGGTGAGCCAGAGATACTCTGGCCCTTATAGGGACTGAAGCCCAATTTCATGTTATCTCAGTCCTTGAAATTTGATTAAAATAATCAAGAAGTGGTAGTATCACTAGTCATGGGCCTGCAGCAAATACACCTCTTCTAGAGGAAGATAATATCCTAGGTGTCTAATTAGTTTTCTATATTTGATATCTACCAAAAATAACAGTTTACAGATAATAGAATTTTAGATACAGGTTTTAAAATAAGTGCCCTTAGGGTGTTAAGGGAAAAAAAGGAAATAAAAATCATTATTGAAAATTTTGCAGGGGATCCCTGGGTGACTCAACAGTTTAGCACCTGCCTTCGGCCCAGGGCATGATCCTGGAGTCCTGGGATTGAGTCCCACGTGGGGCTCCTTGCATGGAGCCTGCTTCTCCCTCTGTCTCCCCCGCACTCCCCCCCCCCGTGTTTCTCGTGAATAAATAAATAAAATATTTCTTTAAAAAATTTGCTTGAAACCTCATGCAATATTGTTAAAATAAATAAATACATGAAAATTTAAAAAAAAAAAGAATTTTGCAGAGAATTGGGAACTATTAAAAAAAAAGACCACAATAGAAATGAAAAATTTAGTAACCCAAATTGCAAATTGCAGTTATGAGAA